ATGAAAGATCTTAGCATTACTTTTTAAAAGTTGATAAAGGCAAATGAAAAAGGATGAGAAAAGTATGACAGGACATTGATATTGCAGACTTTTGAAGAAGAAAAATATTGTGGTCAGATGTTAAGAATAGATTGGTAGTACAAAAATTCTGATAAAAGAAGCCAAAAATGAGAGATTTTGAGAACCTTTTTACTACAATGAATAATTTTGATTGCATTACATGCATTGCATTTAGAGCACTCAGTACATGCATCCATAAACAGTTTTAATAAGGACGGAGACTGTCCATTTCCTGATCGAATAAAAGATTTCAAAAGAGAAAATTTTACTTGTTAAAAGAAAAGAACTTAGTTTTGAGAGAAGATGATATTTTAAAGTTGTTGAGCCTCTGCTGAGAGGAGCTTTTTCATATGAGATTTTAAAGTTGTTGAGCCTCTGCTGAGAGGAACCTTTTCCAAGATGAAATTTTAAAGTTGTTAAGCCTCTGCTGAGAGGAGCTTTTTCAAATGAGATTTTAAGGTATCAAAGCACAGTGTGAAATGCTAGAGAATTGAAGAAATGGCCACGAATGGTGGTGTCAACCATCAACAGAAAATTGAAGAGCTTGAAGCCGCGGTGGCCATTTTGAAAGCTCATTTGGTTACAAATGATCATCTGAAGGAGATCAAGACAACCCAGCGGGAGTTGTTTGATACTTTACATAGCTTGAGTGAAGAGGCTAGAGATGCCTTGAATGTCTTCCAAAAAGAGTTTGAGGAGCTTAGGGCCCAAATGGACATCTTACAAGTGGCGGTGGCTAGATAGAGTTCTAGCTCAATGGAAAGGGAAAAAAAGGCTAAGGTGCCAGATCTCCGATGATATAAGGGGGCAAGAGATGCCAAAGAGCTTGAAAATTTTCTGTTTGACATGGAGCAATACTTTTGAGCTGTGCGTACTGAATCAAAGGAAGACAAGGTGGCAAAGGCATTAATGTATCTTGCAGGGGATGCCAAACTTTGGTGGCGTTCAAAATTTGTAAATGATGAATGCCCTATCAAAACTTGGGTGGACCTGAAGCAAAAATTGAAAAACCAGTTCTTTTTTGAGAACGTAAAGTATATGACCCGAATGAAGCTTCGAGAGTTGGTGCAAATGGGAATAGTGTGAGAGTTTGTAAGGAGTTTTTTTACCCTAATGTTGGACATTAGAGACATATTTGAAAAGGATAAAATGTTTTATTTTCTAGATGGCCTCAAACCGTGGGCCAAAACAAAACTGCATAGGCAAAAGGTACAAGATGTGACCACGACCATGGTTGCAACCGAACGCCTTCATAACTACAATGATGGCTCCTTAAAACGAAAAAATCTTCCATTAGGTGGTAATAACTCCATCTTTGAAAGTGGTGGAAAAATGGCCAGAGTGAACCGACCCTTCAGTGAGGGATTAGATAAGAGGCCCTTTGGTCAAGACAACACCCAACCCAGAGCAAACAACACAACAAGTTTTAGGCCTAGGCAATCGTTAGCTTGCTTCCTATGCAATGGACCGCATCGAGCGACTGAGTGCCCACATAGAGGGGCCCTTAATGCCTTAAGAGCCTCATCCTAAGATTTAGTAAAAATATCCAAGACAATTGAAGAAATTGAAGAGGAACCAACCAGGATGGGCTCCATATGGTTCTTAAATGCCCTCCATACCCAGCTTAACATGATAAAAAAAAAACGGAGTAGAGGCTTGATGTATGTGGACCTGGTACTCAATGAGAAGACCATAAGGGCTATGATCGATATGGATGCAACCGATACCTTCATCACACTCGAAGAAGTAAAAAGGTATGGTCTTAAGATGAACAAGGACTACGGGTAAATGAAAGCGGTCAACTCAATTAGTGGAAGCTCTAAAAATGTGATGCTAGAACAATTACCTAAGGTCTTACCTCCTCAAAGATCGGTTGACCATGAAATTAAACTTTTCCCAGAGGTCAAACCCCTTGTTAAGGCCCCATACAGCATGGCTCCACCAGAATTGGTCGAACTAAAGAAACAATTGGATGAACTCTTATAGACCGGGTTCATTAGGTCATCAAAAGCACCTTTTGGAGCACCTATGCTATTTCAAAAGAAACATGATGGAAGATTACGACTATGTGTCGACTACAAAGCCCTAAATAAGGTCACCATAAGAAACAAGTACCTGATTCCCCTCATTACTAATTTGTTTGATCAATTGAATAAAGGCCAAATACTTTTCCAAATTGGACCTGAGGTCTGGCTATCATCAAGTCAGAATTACGGAGGGATATGAACCGAAAATCACCTGTGTAACCCAGTATGGCACATTTGAATTTCTTGTTATGCCTTTTAGACTAACCAATGCTCCTACCATATTTTGTACCTTGATGAATCAGGTGTTCCATGATTACCTTGACAAATTCATGGTTATTTATTTAGATGACATAGTGGTATACAGCTTCACTTTGGAAGAACACCAAGAATACTTACGCCTAGTGCTTCAAAGATTACAAGACCATCAGTTGTATGTGAAAAGAGAGAAATGTGCCTTTGTTCATACCCAAATCCATTTTCTAGGTCACATTGTCAAACAAGGTCATATTCGAATGGATATGAAAAAGGTTAGAGCCATCAAGGAGTGGACAACACTCAAGAATGTTAGTGAGCTTCGTTTGTTTTTGGGATTAACCAACTATTACAAAAGATTTGTAGAAGGGTACTCTCGTAAAACTACGGCCCTCACAGAATTATTGAAAAATGAGCATAAATGATGTTGGACGAGTGAATGTCAAGAGGCATTTGAAGGACTAAAGGAAGCCATTATGAAAGATCCCATCTTAGCCCTCCCCGACATCGAACAACCCTTCGAAGTTCAAATAGATGTTTCTGACTTTGCTATTAGGGGAGTACTCCTACAAGCATGACACCCAATAGCATTTGAAAGTAGAAAGCTAAGTGAAGTTGAAAGAAAATATATGGCCCAAGAGAAAGAACTCATAGCAGTAATTCACTGTTTGAGAACTTGGTGACATTATGTGTTGGGCTCACACTTTGTAGTGAAGACAGACAATGTGGCAGTTAGTCACTTTCTCACCCAACCAAGGTTCACAGCGAAGCAAGCCCTATGGTAAGAATTTTTAGCTAAATTTGACTTTTGTTTTGAGCACACCGTTGGAAAGACCAATCAAGTGGCTGATGCATTGTGCAGACGAGCAGAGTTAGCAGCCCTTAGAAGAATGGCCCTAATGGAAGCTAGCAGAGTTACGATGGACGTTCACAAGTTACTTGAAGATAATTTAAGAAAGGACCCGCAAGCCAGTGCCATCCTGAAGCTAGTTGAAGAAGGGAAGTCCAAGTATTTCTGGCAGGAGAACAAGGTCTTGTGGACAAAGGGTCTTTGATTGTTTGTGCCGAAGGTAGGGGGTCTGAGATAGATGTTGATGAGGAAGTGTCATAATACACCATAGGATGGACACCCAGGTTGGCAACATACTTTGCTCTATTAAAACAGGGATACTATTGGCCTTACATGCGGTAAGACGTGATGGACTATACAAAGACTTGCCTTATCTGCCAATAAGACAAAGTTGAAAAGAAAAAACTTGTAAGCATGCTTGAACCACTATCGGTGCCTACTAGATCATAGGAAAGCATCTATCTTGACTTCATTTCGGGCTTTCCCAAAGTTGGCGATCTTTGAGCTATTTTGGTGGTGATCGATCGTTTCTTCAAGTATGCCACATTCATTCCCACCCACAAGTATTATACTGCGGAGGACACAGCTCGACTTCTATTCAAACATGTGATCAAATATTGGGGCCTGCCTCAGAACATTGTAAGCGACAGGGATCCAAGATTTACAGGGTCTTTTTAGAGAGAACTTTTCAAGATATTAGAGTCCCAACTCAACATCTCTTCAAGCTACCACCCCCAAACCGACGATCAAACTGAACGGTTCAATGGATTTCTAGAGGAATACTTGAGGCATTTTGTTCAAGCCAATCAGAAGGACTGGCCTTCGTTGTTGGACGTTACTCAGCTTTGTTTTAATTCTAACAAGAGCTCTTCCACCAACAAAAGCCCATTTGAGGTGGTCACTGGACAACTACCAAGGTTACCCCTTACATCTCTAGAGTAATATGGAGGGAAGAACCCGAGAGCCTTTAACCTCGGTAAAGAGTGGAGGCAAAACACAGAGATTGCACAAGCCTACTTGGAGAAGGTGTTGAAGCGAATGAAGAAATGGGCAGACAAAGGTCGCAGGGTGCAACAATTCCAAGTTGGTGATCTGGTTCTTGTTTGACTAGTCCCTGAATAAACCAGGTTCTTGAGGAAGCGAGATCAGAGATTGGTGCACAAATATGAGGGTCCAGTGAAGATCTTTTCCAAGGTGGGGAATACTTCTTACAAAATCGACCCACCAAAGTGGATGAAGGTGCACCCAGTATTTCATGTGAGCAACGTAAACCTTTCCATGCAGATCCTACAGATGCTAGATGAAGAGAGCCAACCAAAGCCGCCATCACATGAAGCCACCCTCAGAATGTCGGGTTGAAGAGATCTTAGTTGACAGGGAAACCAACATATCTCGAAGACTAGTTCATGAATACTTAGTGAAGTGGAAGGGATTAGGACCAGAGGAAACTAGCTAGGAAAGAGACCACGACCTCCGGGCATTCAAGAGAAGATTGAAGAATTTCAAGCCAGCAAATCAACAAGGACGTCGATAGGTTAGGTGGGGGAGGATGTCATGAGCCAACCTTGTATAGGGCCATGACCGGGGTTTAGGTTGTAATGAGCCACCTATGTATAGGACCATGATTGGGTAGAGATGCCAAAGGAGAAGGGTAGATCTCTTGTGCTAGGAAAAATGTCCCCATTTCAAATATTGTAACGGTTAGTGGTAGCATAGCTCTAAAATCTTTTATGCTTTTTAGGGGGGGTGAGCAATCAGCGTATCGTTGGACTGTCTCACTGGTTAGGGTATAGATGTAGGCTACCTGTCAAAGGTTACCCCCTGGCCTCGACGATGCTGTGAAGTCTCGATGTACTATTTTCGATAATAATAACATACGTCTTTTATTCGAAAGTTTCGAGTGTTGTCTTGATGTGTTTTTCGTTCTTTCAATATGAATGTGTTTTCTTGTATATGCTTGAGATTAGCTATGGCTTATGATTGCTTGTTTAGATATCGAATTATCGTTGGTTGACTTAGGTGGGAGCGTCCATTTAAATACCGGTCTATCGTTTGGAGAAAGCTTAAACCGTGACACTCCTTCTGTTTCAATTGTTATGCATAGCATCCCAGATACACTTCGATGGAAGCTTGGATCTATTAAATTCATAGCACGAGACCAAGTCAAAACAATAGAAACTAGAAATTCAAAGAACAGAACACGCACAACGACAAAGGCGGCAAACAATTTTATTATCTTAAAAAGGGTCAAAGTACAAAGACTGTCGATTTGGGCATTCTTTTACGTATAAAAGAAGAAAACAAATTAAGTTATCAACGATTACTCTTCCTTGAGGATCAAACTTTATTGTTTTATTCCATAGGAATCAGCTCCAAAGAGGTAATTCAAAGCGGGATTGGATCAATCAGCAACGAAGTGATCCCACCTTTAGCTGCTTTCCCCACATGTGTGTAACCATCTCCCTCTCTGTAAAGTACATCCATAACCCTTGCTAGGTTGAGACTACGATTGAGAACTGGTACTGGCATTTCGGTTGGTTTCAGGAACTCTTGATTCATATCCTTCCAGGAACTCTCGATATGCTTGTTAAATTCAGCGTATGCCTCTTCTGCTGATACACAGTACTGCTCCATGTAGCACTCAATGGCTGAGCAATCGTCCTCTCTCCTGTGGTTGAACTGCAGCAGTAAAAAAATAGGTTAATTGTTCAGTTTAGGACTAAACTTTTGAGCTGTTGCTCATGTAAGGATTAAACCTTTTATTTGTTTCAATTAAGAATAAAATTATAATTTGATTCGTTATTAACAATTTGTAGGAAGGTATTAATTTTGCAAATTAGAGAGCAATTTGTTTTGATTATAGACTTATAGTGTATAGCATACCTTGTGTTCAGCAACATCATCCATGAACCTGCAAATGATTGTGGAAGCTTTGATTATCTTAGGGTCACTGGCTGCCCATTCAAAGGTCTCTGGGGTTATAACATCTCCCATGCCCACGAAAGCTGTAATAGCAAGCATGGCATAGCCAGAGGTTGGCAATGCATTAGCCCTAAACTCCTCAAATGTTGGTTTGTAGTTTAGATGCGTCCATTTGGCCTCCAGAAGGTAAGCTTGAGCAAGTCGTATCATCTGGCACGTGGGCACCAAAATCCAACAACTATAGTTAATGAAATTTCGTATTTATATGTTTATGATCAAAGCAAATTGGGTATTAAATTGTCGACGATCATATTGGCTCAAAAAAAATGTTGTTGATGATACGGTGACTTTTATTTTATACAAAAGAGATTATAACCCAAGATAGAAAAAAGAGTTGTAGGTGTTATGATTCGACTAAATGATATTGATATGTTGATTTTCTTTTTTTTTTGGTGATATTGATGTTCAGTACTGTTACATACCGCCTTTCTTGCATACTCGACCCGGTATTGTCGCCCATGCTCCACCAAAAGCTGTTCCATTTCTTCATAAACATCTAATAGAGCCTTATAGCTTATTTTCATGTAATCTGGGAGCTGATCCATGCATTTAATATCCCACCTGAAACACAATTTCAAGGTTACACATTTAATATTGATCAACTGATCATATATAAATACTTCAAAATTCAAAATTGAAAATGAATGTTAATTTACATTCCACAAATCTAACCTCTCGATTGCATCTGTATAGGGAATGAGCTCATCATATGTTGCATAAGAATCATATGTATCATCCACGATAGATGCCATGGCTATTACTTTTGTCAACATCTTTCTACCAAGAGAGTATTGGGGCTCAAAGTATACCCCCATAATCCAAAAGTAACCTTCAACCACTCTATCTCTTGCAAATGGTAGCTTTCTTGTAAAGTCTAAATCTTTCCACCACCTAAAAATCAGCGTATCCATTATCACAATTAATGTAATTTTCAGGATTTAATTTGCAAGAAAAATGTTAAACAATCAAAATTCAAATCCTCAGAGTCTCAAATATTAAAACAAAAAATTGTAAGAGAAATGAAACGAAAAAAAATTCAAACACTTACCTACAGATCTCACTTAGCTCTTTCCTGTGCAAAAGTTGTACCAAATTGAAATCTATCTTTGCAAACTCCAGCAGTGCCTTATTTTGAAATTCAAGATCTTGGTATATGGAAATGTAGTGCCTAGCCTCTACCCTTGGCAAGCCTCTTCGGATTGACTGCTTTAAGGCATGAGCAACCTGTTCTGACAAAGGATAGTGTAAACTTGCTGCTGCAAGAGTTAGGTGAGTAGTGGTGAAAGAAATTGCTTCATCAAGTATATCTTCCTCATGCACTCTCATATAGGAAGCTTCGTAGAGTTCCAACAATCCTCGCACATCACTCGTCACGGATGGCTTGAAATTTCCTTCCTCATCTTTGAACTTGTTGAATACCTCTGCTCAATCACCCAAAGTCATTATCAAACATTAATTCCATGGTATTCACCCAAAGTCATCATCAAACATTAATTTCATGATATATCTATCTATCTATATATATATATATATATATATATATATGATTTACACAGTTGTTATGTGTCAACCTTATAAATCTCTTGCGAAATTTAAAAACAGCAAATTGGTCCAATAATCTTAAGAAATAAATGTATTAAAAGTTAATTACCGCATGAAACATAAAAGCCATGCTCTCTAAGTAATCGAAAACGAAGAGCTGTTGTGTAGAGATCGTTCTCAATATCATTGTTGTCACGGTATATTGTTTCTAATTCATCTTCAATCTCTTTCTCAAAATGGTAACTCACACCCAACCTTTGGATGGCATCGATGAGGGGTAACTTTTGGTTTGAATTATCTATAGGTGCCAAAAGCATCTTCCTCACTTCTTCTTTCAATTCTTCATATCGTAACTCAGTTGTAGTATCAATATCCTGCTTGACAGCTCAAGGATGAAATTTTCTTCTTATTGAATAACTAGATAATTAAATATCACAAAAATGTTTGTTTCCTTTTTTTTTTTTCAATTAGAAAAAATGAGTTTATAAAAATAATAACTAAGAAAGCAAAAGTTAATTATCTATTGAGAGATCGCCTAGCTAAGGTCTCTCTTTTGGTCTTAGAAATTCCTCCACATCACAGAAAATAACAGAAAAAAAAAAAAAAAGCAAACACAGCAAAAAAAAATTCAAGAAAATAAAAGCGGTCGATGAAATAAGAATAAAACTTAAATTGTAATAAAAAAAGTTTGATTGCAAATTAAACCTCAAAATTTTCACATTTGAGTAAGAATAAATTAAGTTTTATATATAGTATTGATATACCTTATGAGGATAATTGAGGAACACATCTCCCCAAATGCCAGGGTGAAAATCGGCCTTGGGACGATTTTCCATATTGGAGGAAATGGCATTATGGGGTGCAGCAAGAATTTGGGAAACTTGTGATGCCATTTCTCTATATGGGAATTGGTAGTGTTGGAAGCAAATATTCAAAGATTGGTTTGCTACCTTTACTACTCTTATGTTAACACAGATTTGTGTGAGGCTGAGTGCAATTGCTGCATGTATTTATAGGTACAAAATTGCTCGTTGAAGTCAAGAAAGACAACTTAAATTGAAGAAATTATAACAATAAAAAAGAATTGATGTAGGGTCCATATGAAGGAGGGAATGCAAATAGAGAGAAAAGTACTTGTGATGCTTTTGTTTGCTTCTTCCCTATTCTTCAAAGTTGATGCCTGCGAAACATTATTAAACAGCAGTCAGAAATGTGGTACAATTTTTACTTTTATATATATTTTTTTACTTTGACAGAATTTAAGTCTCTTTCTGACAAAGTGCTGTTGTACAAATTGTTGAAATTTCTTAGGGAACAACAGTGGCAAGTTGTTGAAGCATTTGAGCATTATGACTCGATGCAGAAGATAACAAAAGAGTGGAATACTACTTTATATATAGTATGCAAAATACTAAAATATAGTGATATAAAGATTGAAAAATTCAACCATTTTACTCAATAATAAGTGTATATGTATGCCAACAGTCATGTATTTAAGATTTTTTATTAACTTATAATATATATATATAATTGCGACGAATTTAACAATTTTATTTGGATATATAATTGCAACGATATTGTAGGGGTAGGGGATGTATTTAGATTGCAGTAATGTATCAGGTGAATACGACTACTGCTAATTTGCATTAATAAAATGAATGGCTGAGAAAAAAATTATATGCTAAGTTAAAAGATACAAAAAATTAAAAATAAAATTGATGGAACAATTAGCATGACTCTGGATGTAATTGCGCCCAGAAGCTAGTGGGTGGACTTCATTAAATCTATTTCCATGAAAATAAAGGATTTTCATTTTCTTTTCTAGGTTAGTGGTGGATTCCATTAGCATGTGAATTATATCTATTGAAATCACTTGGCATCATTAGCTGTTAAGGGAGACCTAAGCAGATTTATTTATTTTTTAAAAAATTTCATTAATTAATCAGTTTCTTTCATGATAATATATATCGTTAGATTTAATATATATTATATATCATCTATATATAAAAATGTTAATTTCAAAAATGTTAATAGTGATAAATCTAAATATTTTCATAAATTTTTTAATTAATAAATTTATTTTTAAATATATAATTTTTATTAATTTATTTAAATTAAATTTAAATCAACTAAAATTGAAAATAGAGTTTATATAAAATTAAACTACTTAAAATTATAGAATTTTAATTTCAAAAGTATTAAAAATGATTAGTTAAAATATTCGTAAAAAATATTTTTATAAATTTTAATTTAAATGAATTTTTTTATTATTAGACTTTTTTTAATTAGATAAAAAATTATTAAAAATGATTGACTAAAATGTTTTTAATAAAATATTAATTTCAAAAATATTAAAAATAACTGATTAAAATATTATATATTAGTAAATTTTTTTATAAATTTTAATTTAAATAATATTTTTTTATTATTGAACTTCTTTTTTCATAAATAAAATAATTTTTCGTATCAAATTAAAATATAAATAGAATGACATAAAAACGTAACGTACATGTATATACAACAATTATATAGAATTTATTTATTTAATTGTTATAAAAACAATTATATATGTAATTTATGTAAAAAATAACCATAATTAAAACATTGTAGCATATATTTTTTTTTTTTTTGTCTTTCAATTTTTGTTTTAATATTCGTTTCAAATCGCCTTTTAGCCTTTGCCCACCGTCCGACTGGCCTGAAATTTCAGTAAGTTGATCTCTCTTCTATGCTCTACCTCTGCACCGTTCGGATCTCCCTAAAATCCAATGCCACTATCAACCTCCATTGTTGCTGTTGTCGTCCATGGCTGTTGTGCCGCTGCTCGAGCCGTCGCGGTTTCTGACCCTCTCTCTCTCTTTCGATTCTCTTTCTCTCCACGATCAAAGCTCAAAGCCTTGTTCAAAAACCTTCCTCAGTCGAAACTCCCTTTGGGTTTTTTGTGGTTTATAATTGTTAGCTTCCTCACCAAACCAGTGAGGACTGTGGTGCTTTTTTGTTTTGTTGTTTTTTTTTTTTTCTTTGATGTTGGCGGTCCGTGGGTTTGTTTGACTGACCGGGTTAGGGGACTGTGGGGTGTTGGTTGAAGGTTGGAGGTTGACGATTTCGTTTTTGGCAATGATAGTTGCCGAATGAGAGTAATAACGGGGTGGTTGATGGTAATGGTGGGAAATAGGGCTGGCGATTTCGATGGTGGGGGTAGAGGGTGTCGGGAGTAGGTTGGGAGGTTGCCATTGGGTTGGAAGTGTGTGGGTGCTTGGCCGAATGGTGCTCACCATGGGGCTGGATGGCCGGCTGTGGAAGGGGACTGGGTTCGGGGCTTTTGGTTCTCAAAAGGGGCCTCGGCGCTCTCTCTTTTTTTTTCGGCTTCGTGTCTCTTTTCTTAGGGAGTATATTGGAGGTCTGTGTATGGTGGGCTGTTTCTGTTTTTGGGATAGTGGAGTACGCTGAGTTAGTGCTACGGTCAAAGGGTGAATTTGTGGGTGAAAAATAGAAAGTTAAAAATGGGCATGTAGTCGGGGAAATCTGGGCGCAACTATTTGCCATGCTAAACTGAGATTTTTTTTTTTGTAATTAATTTTTTTAATTAATCCAAGTTGAATTTAGGCTTTAAATTAAAATTGGACTTCAATTTTTGATCAATCGAGCTCAGCCCACGTAAAGTAATTCTAAATATTTAAGATAAAATCAAAATGAACTTGATCAAATTAAAACATTCGAATCACTTGAAAATGTTACATTTAACCCAAAGTCGAAATCGAATACAGTTAAATTGTCATAGATAAAGTTAGATATCTAGAGTTATCTCTCTTTACACATTACTAAAAATCAATAATAAGGTAAAAAAATAAATAACAATTTTGTTCAGAATTAATGATTCAAGAATTTTTTAAAATTTGTTTTTGAAACTTTTTTGAGCCTTTTTTTTTCTTTTGGTTTTTTTAAGAGGTTTCCAAAACTAATCGATAGTTAAAGTTTTGGTGCTCTATAAAATTTGACCACTTTGGACCAAATTTTTTTCCAAAATATTAAGACATTTGCAATCTTGCTATATTTGATTTCATATAACTAATACTTATCCCACACTTGTAATTAATGGAAACATGCCCCAAAAGTCATTTCCTTTAACTATGATACGAATTTTTCCAGTTATGTGCCATTTTTTCATTTTTCTTGAAAGGTTTCTTTCTAACTCTATTTTCATTTAAGCCACATTTTTATGTTTTTAGCTTAAATGACCCATTTTTCTCTCTTTTTTCTGTTCTTTTTTTTTTTGTTTTGTCTTTTTTATGCTTTTTTTTAATTCAATTTTTTATTTTTTGTTTTGGGCCATCAAGGTTTTTGAAAATTTTAAAATCTTAACTTTGAAATTTAAAACATTCTGCCTTGAGGATTTATGAATTTTTATACTAAAAATAGATTTGACTCGAAAGACTTATGAATCTCGTATAAAGGATTTATAAACTATGTCCGGAGGTCTTATAAGTTTCAACATCTATAAATGTTCTTCTAAAAGAGGCTTTGAAACTTTAAAATTTAAAATATTTTGCCTAGAGGACTTACGAATCTCGACATCTACAAATACTCTTATAAAAAAAGGCCTTGCAACTTTTAAATTTTAAAATATTATGTCGGAGGACTTACGAATCTTTTTCTAAAATGAAACATTTAAAATTTTAAAACCTTTTGAATTTTAGGTATCATTACCAAAAGGCACTCGAACATCACCAAAAGGCATTTGGTCATCACCACCGAATGAATATGCAAATGATAATCAAACATGATTACCTAGATATCACCATCGAGAAAACTTAAATGATATGCAAACATGAATACTCAGATATCGTCACTGAGTAAAGATGCAAATTAATTTGGATATCACCATCGAGTAATCTTGAAGAAATTGTGGTTACAATATTTTTCTTAATTGGTGCCAATTTTATTGGGCTTAAAATCTGGGTGCTAGTTAAAATAGGCTTAAAATGATAGCTATAAACTAGGCTTAAAATTCAGGTGCTAGCTAAACTAGGTTTAAAGTGCCACTAATCTAAGATTTGGTGCCAACTAATCTAGGCTAAAATTTAGGTACCAACTCATCTGGGCTTGGGTGTTAGCTAAACTAGGTTTAAATCTGAGTGCTAGCTAAACTAGGCTTAAATATGAGTGCTAGCTAAACGGGCTTAAAATCCTAGTGTCAGCTAATCGGAGCTTAAGGTGCCAGCTAATCTAGGCTTAAAGTGCTAGCTAATTTGGGTTTTGGTGCTAGTTAATCTGAGCTTTGATGCCAACTAATCTGGGCTTAAAGTGCCTAGGCTTAAATCTGTATGCCAACTAAACTAGGCTTAAAATCTGTATGCCAATTAAACTGGGCTTAAATCCTATCTTGCATCGTATCTCATCTTTTTCAATCATTTTTTCAACAACCCATCTTTTTTTTTTTTGCAAATCCTTTTCTTTCGACTTTTCAAACCCTTTTGACATTTTGGTTTCTTGTCAAAATATTTTTTTCTTATTTCTCCCTTTTTTTTTATATATGATAGGCTTATATTTCTCTTTTTGCTCTTTTTTTGTATTTTTTATTTCTTTTTCTCTTTTATGTTTTTTTTTTTACTTTTTCCTTGATAATTTCTTTATTTTTCTTTTATTTTTCCAAAACTCAATAGAATGTCCACATTGTTTTTTTCACTATTTACTAAATTGACAAATAAAGTTATGACTCAATCGTCTAATCCCAAAATGTGAATATCTCTACACCAATGCAAATGATCATATGTGCAAAATTCTTTTCTTGTGATTTGCAATGCAAATGACTTTCCATGGTGCGAACATGCCTTGACAAATATGTAAATGCCAAACTTATCCCTGTAATGCAGATGTCCATATATTTTCCATATCGATGCCCCTACAATG